TATGCAGTCCTGGAAGTGGCGACAGGTAGAGCGGGAGTAAGCTCACTTTGGGCCAGTCGCCGCACCTCTTTAGAGCCTGTCTCTCAGTAAAGTGGGTTTTATTCCAGCAGCCACCCTGAGCTGCCTCGAGAAACGTTGTTGAGGCAGAATGAGCATGCGGTGAATGTAACTTCAGGATTACCAGCGTCAGCAGCATCTCCAGCTCCCCATAAGCACCACATCTGACAGCTTTGGTCAGGAACGCTTTCTCTCTCTCCCTTTTCATTTTATCTGTTGGGAAGCCAGGCATGCTGTGACGCTGTGAAGGTCAGAGGACAACTTGTGGGAATCAGTCCTCCTGCTATATAGGTCCTGGGATCACCTGCTGGCCATCTTGCCAGCCCTGGAATGGTCCCCTCTCCTCTCCCCACCCCCAAGACAAGGTTTCTCTGTGAACTGCTATGTAGACCAGACTGGTCTTGAACTCAGATCCGCCTGCCTCTGCCTCTGCCTCTGGAGTGCTGCAATCAAAGGGGTGCCATTCTTCATGTCCACCCAGGCACTCTGGATTGGGGTGCTCTGGGGTGCTCCCTCCCACCGTCAGCGCCTAGGTTGATAAACTGCCCTTCCTAAATCGTACCCCTCGTCTAATAAGAAAGTTGCAATAGGAAACCTCAGGATCCTTCCTGCTCCTCACTACAGACAGGAAAGAAGCCACTGAAGCGTGAGGAATCCCCCGTTCCTGCTGGAATGGCCCAGGGATTGTGTCCTGCCGTTTGCTGTGCATGTTTGTAGGGAGACAAGGCAAGGCCCACCATAGCAGTCTCAGACCCATGGGCCTGGGCGTATGGCCCCAGAGGAGCCAACCCTTCTAGAGGGGTAGCCAGGTTCCAGATCTGAGTTCTGTGGAACTCGGTGGCTGTCAGAGTCTCCTCACATCCACTTCCCTCTGCAGATGACCTGGATGGACTTCTGAGTGAGCTCCCCGAGGACTTCTTCTGTGATCCCAGTGGGGACTGCCTCGAGACAGGACATCCACCTTGAGCTGGCAGTCTCTGCCCCCAGACAAGCTCTAGGTGCATCTGGTCACATCCAGGGGAGAGGAAGCCAGTGCAGCTGGAGACAAGACAAGCTCCTGGTCTGACGCCTCCTCGTGGCCACCCTGAAACCCCCGAGTGACGACCCCACAGTGTGCTGCTGTGGCCTGACAGCTTCCTCTGCTATGGGACATGGGAGCAAGGCTAGCTCTGCAGCCTCTCTGGGAGCCCTGTGGACCATCGTCCTCCGGCCGACAGGAAAGTGTGACCTCCACCTCATCTGAACTTCAGAGATGTTGGGCCTGGTTTCCTTGTCCCTTTGTTTCTCGGTCCCCTGACAGCCGAGGAGCCCAGAGGAGCCACAGCCACAGCAAAGGTGACCTAAGGCTATCACCAGTGAGCCCTCGAGGGGGATGGTGGAGTACAGGCTCTTGTACCTGGTTCTGAAATAAAGCAGCCCCTCCTCATCTGCCACCCTCCTTGACACACCTACTCCTCCATTCTCTGCTGGCCGGGCCAGTCAAGCGCCAGCAGGTGGACAGCAAGGCAGAGCAAAGAGCATTGACTGTGTGTGTGTGTGTGTGTGTGTGTGTGTGTGTGTGTGTGTGTGTGTGTGTGTACAC